AGAAAACCTCCATTCGCTATCCATCACCATTCACAGTTTTCTGTGAATTGATATCATGCCGCCAATTGGCGGAGCACAGCCATCATCATCTCGCGCCGCCTACCTCGCTCTCCTAGCACCAAGCTCCAGACCAGCATCGCAAGTCGCGACACCTGTCCGTCCGACGAGCGCGCCGCCCCGTTATGTCCGTTCCGAGCCCAAAACATCCGCGTCCGCCGATCCCCGTGACTTTAGTCAGCGAACAAGGCCCCTCAAGTCCCCAGATGATCTGAAATCCCCCACCAATAAGAAACTATTATTCTACAGTTCGAAGGCTTCCAAAACACTCAGCTTCTTATCTGTCCAGCCTCGCCGAATCCCCATCCTGATATTTTTATGCGCCAATTTTTTCGGAGCGATCGGGTTCATTGCGCATGGTGTCTGGGACTCCGTCGGTTCACCGTCCACCCGCGCAGTGACTTCGATTATCGTCAGAAGAAGCTTGGCTGCTGTTCCCGTCGCCTCGTTACGCGACACGAACTTTCGCTCGACAGTTGGCGGGCAGACATGGGTTGGGTGGCTCGTCACTCAGCCGCTCACAGCAAAGTTTCTCGGTCGGGATTTTTTAACTCAGCTTGACGAGCGAATTTACGGCGAATGGCCGGCGAACACCGATTGCCCTGGCGATTTTCGCCTGGATAACGCTTTCGCCACATGCACGGCTCTGGATCAGCACCGATCGGTGCGCAGTATCGCGGATTTGAACGGCCACGCGAACGAAAACGGCGCGTATTCGCGACACAACCAGAAATACGACGTTACGGGCTCGGGAAAGTGGTTTATCGAGGAGCAGTATTACGGGTTTCTGTTTATTCAAGCGGGTTTGGCGTTCAACAATTCCGAAGCTGCCCGAATCGGAATGAAAATCTACGACTGGGGTTTCGACCAGCAGCGGGAAGATGGGTCTTTCGACTGCCCGGACGTGTACCACAGCGCGGGTTTTTTCATGGAGTCCGCCGCGCGGGCAGCCCTGCTGCTAAAATCCTCGCGTTGGGCGGCGCATCCTGTCTTCCAGCAGTGGCTGCGGAAAACGGAGAAGCACATCGCAGCGATGGCGGCGTGGTTTGTCCGGCCTGATATCGAGCGCAATGGATGGATAAATGACGCGGTGCACACGCACAGGCGGTACCTAACAGGCACAGCTCTCGGCATGGCTGGGATACTAACGCAGAACCAAACCCTAATTTTGAAGTCGACCGAATACATCCGAAGCGGACTGGCGATGCAGGATGCAGCGGGTTTCAACTACGAAAGGCGAGGCTACGACTGCAGCTATCAAGGCATAGGGTTGGTCTATGCGGCTCGGTACTATCTCTACGTCGCGCCGCACATACAAAATGGGACCGATTCGGAGGAGTTTAGATCGCGTCTGCTGGAGGCCGGGCGGCGCGGCGTGGACTGGTTGGTAACGCGGGTGGATGAGCGCGGGTTGCTGAACGCGACGGGTAACACGCGCACGGGGAGCGCGCAGGAGGTTGGGCGCAACGGCAAGCCCAAGGCGCTGGCGCGCAAGGACGTGTTTCACGCGCTGCTGTACTGGAGCTGGGTGCTCGGCGATCCCGAGGTGGAGCTCGTCGCATGGCGCGTGGAGTGGGAGAGAACCAGGCGGGTGCGCGATAGGCGGTGTGATTGCCATGGCGGGCTGAGTTGGGGGCTGAAAAATGCGGAGATTCGGAAAATGGTACAATAGTAGCCGGTTAAGGTGATGAGTTTCGAGGTGTACTATACAGTGTACACTGCGCACGAACTGGGCAGGAGAGGCGTCCGAGGGTGTGTTTCACGCCTGCTGTACTGGAGCTGGGTGGGTGCTCAGAAATCCAGATAAAGGTCACTTGCAGTCCGCTGTACAGGAGATGTGATTGTAACGTGGGAATGGAAAAGGCAGAGTTGTTGGTTCAGGGGTTGGTTGGCACTGGGAAGGTTGAAGCAGAGGTAGCAGCAGGGAAGCAGCTGTAGCAGCCATGGAAGCTGTAGCTTTGATAATTGCTGCAGTATTCTGATCTGAAGAAGCTGTGGTGGTTACGCTGTGGAAGTAGCGCGAATGCAGCGGTTGTGGCAGCGGTTGCAGCTGTAGCTGTGATATTTGCTGAAGTGTTCTGAAGAAGCTGTGGTGGTTGCACTGTAAAAGTAGCGACTGCAGCAGCTGTAGCGGCTGTGGCAACTGTGGCTGCGATAACTGCTGCAGTATTCTGAATAAGCTGTGGTGGGTACGCTGTGGAAGTAGTGCGAGTGCAGCAGCAGTATCTGTGACGACTGCTTTAGTATTCTGAAGCAGCTGTGATGGGATGGATGGGATGGTTACACCGTGGAAGTAGTGCAAATGCAGCAGCTGTAGCGTCGGTGGCAGCTGCAGCTGTGACGGTTGCTGCAGTATTCTGAAGCAGCTGTGATGGTTACACTGTGGAGGTAGCAACTGCAGCAGCTGTAGCGGCTGTGGCAACTGTGGCTGCGATAACTGCTGCAGTATTCTGAAGCAGCTGTGATGGTTACACTGTGGAGGTAGCAACTGCAGCAGCTGTAGCGGCTGTGTTAGAGTCCCCCAATAAGCAGTGCAGCTGCTGTAGCAGTCTAACCTACTGTCGTGTAGCAGTCAATCCGACAGCTGTAGTGCCACAAGTGGCGGAGACACGGCTACAGACTGCACTGCAATTCAAGTGGATGCATTCGGTATATTGGCCCTGGTCGCGGCAACAGTGAATGCTTTGCGTTGCAATCAATGATAAATTTCGTGCACCGCATGTTCACCATTGTTTTATTACTACCGTAGTTGTATTGTAAGGATTTGTCGCGATTAACCGCTTCATGCATCACGCCTGTAATGGAAAGCCATTCATGGCCCTCCTTAGAGCGTATTTCTATGCTCATATCAAGAACCTCGTATCAGACTTGCCTGGTAAAACTACGGTAGCGAGAGATTTCGGGTTTAAGGGAATTTTCAGTGTGAGCCTGATACCGGTATGAGGTTCGCTTGATACGAGGTGTAGGAATATGCTCTTAGTCTCATTCCAAGTGGACCGGCCAACAGGCACCCCCTGACAGCTGCCCTTTTTAGTTCCAAAATCAGCCATGGGATCCAGCACTGAGCAATCACAACACACATCTCTGTCTCCAAGCCAAGCCGAGACTTGAAACTTGCCCTTTCATGCACCCTGCTACACCACTCCGCAATCATGTGACCGTCACCGTTTTGGAAACAATCAGTCAGGTTGTTTCCTGCCCTGCTACAACTCCCTGACCGTCAGATTAAGCCTGCCCGGCCGCAGCCCGGTCTCCTGAGCCAACCAATCAGGCGCCGTCCCGCCATGCACACATGGCACGCCATGGAACATCAACCGGGACGGGCCCCCAAACACCACCACATCTCCTGATTCTAGAACCACCTTCGCTGCTTTCTCCGGGTCTCTTTGCCACCCGAATAGGAAATCCGCCGAGTCTCCCACGGAGAAGGAGACGACTGGCGCCCCCCGGCGGATCGATGCGGGCGGCTCGTCCTTGTCCTGATGCATGCCGAGGGCTCCGCGCCGGGGAGAGTAAAAGTTTGCGATGCAGACCGAGGGGGTCATGTCCGGGAGGATGCTTTTGTTGCTGCTGCCCGAGGCGGCTCGGACAGCAGTTTGGGCAGCAGAAACGGCTTGTACAGCAAGGGAAGAGATGGAGAGGGGGAGAGCGGGAGGTTTGGCATCATCTACATAGGTTCGGCGGGGCTGGTAGGTTCGGAGATTTGGCTCCCAGTGCTGCTGCCCAAGACACATCATGTGAAGTTTCATCTGCCCGCCGTTGAGAAATTTCGGGCGGTAAAATCCTCCCGGCCCCAGGCCAAGGCGACGGCACTCCTTCACAATCTCAAGCTGCAGGAAGGGTAAGTACACTCAAAAGAAAGGGTTACACCATGTTTTAGAGTCTCAAGGCAAGTTGAGTATAGTCAAGAGGAAAAGCTTCACAAGGATTAACAAGGTTTACACATCAAGACAGGCAGCATAAAACGAAAGAAAATGAAACGAAACTTGGAATATAGCCACTACATTACCTGCTGCTCCCTTGTGAGCCATCCCTTAAGCAGCACCATTCCATCCTGCAACACTCCCCCTCTCCCTCCATCAATACCAGCTTCAGACCCCCTCACTCCTCCCGCTCCTCCCACTCCTCTCAGCAGCCCTCCCCGCTGATCCGTCTGTACACAGATGTCAAACCTCCCATCCACGTCAGCTTCATCGTCTGCCAGGTCAGCAAGCCCCGCCAGGTCAGCAGGGATGCCACACGGGCCGTCCCTATCCCGATTCTCCCGAGAATCCAATCCCCCTCCTGCCGTCCCTCCCCCAATCACTCCTCTATACCCCACTCCTTGATTCCCCACCTCACCTCCTCTCGAACCCCTCTCCTTGTCAATCCTTCTGTTCCCGCCCCCCCCGCTCCTCCCCCCCACCTCCTCCTCTATCTCCCTCATAGCTTCCATCAGTGGGGAATCATGCTGAAGCCTCGCCATGCCCTCCTTATAAGCACCTCTCCTTCTGTCACTCTCCTGCTCCTTCACGTGCTGCTGCTCCTGCTGCCCCTTCTTCCCCTTGCCGCCCTTCTTGCCTTGCCCAGTTGCCTCATTTGAACTAGCACCACCAGCAGCAGCACCACCAGCAACAGCAGCACCACCAGTACCACTAGCACCATTGCTACTACTGTTAGCACTGCTTGGTTTAACAAACACGGGAGCTGCAATTGGGAGGTTCGGGCTTGGCATGAGCCGGGTTCGGCCCAAACCACCCGCTGCCGAACCTCCTCCTCCGCCACCTTCCCCTTTTATAAGCACTTTTATCCCTGAAACCACTTCCTGCTTCATTGTTGGGATCTGGTCCCTCTCTCCTTGCTCCATGTCTCCTTGCCCCTTGTCATTTTGGCCCCCCATCAGGAAGATACTCCCTACACCAGTTCTACCTCCCCCTCGCCTCCCACTCGCCCCCCCACTTGCACCCTTTGTCTGCTTCTCAGAACCTTCCTGCCCTGGTTTGGCTCCCTCAGACCCTGCCACGTCAGCTCCACCCCTTGCCACGTCAGCCCCAGGGCTATCTGCCACGAGAACCCGTCGACCAATCAGATCGAGTGTAACAACCACCCTCCTCCTCCTCTCCTCCTCCTCCCTCTCCCTCTCCTCCTCTCTCCTCCTCAAAATCTCCCTCTCCTCATTCGTCAGCCAAGCGTCCCCATCCCCATCTGCACCGTTCGATTTGAAATAGTCACTCTGATCGTCGATCACAACCGTCCGTTGGGCCGACGTGCGATTATACTCCACCAGTCTATCCCTAAACGCTAGAGCCTTCGCCTCAGCTTCCGTTGTCCCTGCTGCAGCTCCTCCCACCCCTCCTCCCACCTCCTCCCATTCCTCCCATTCCCACCCCTGGCGCCGCATCCCCCATACTATCCGACCCTCTAAGCACCAAAACGCCGCAGAACTTACACGGCCCTTCGCCCTCCTGCTCGCACACGATCTTCCCACACGCTAAGCAGTTGTTAACTAAGTGATGGATCGCCGCCTGGCACTCGCACGGCGCGCCTTGCTTAAACACCCGCCCCTGCTCCAAGTCCGCCAGACCCACCGCCACCCCGCCCCTCCGCTTCCTTCCGCCCGCGGATTTCCCCCCGCCCGCGCTTCCTCCCGCCCCTCCGCCAACCCCTCCGCCAGTCCTTCCGCCAACCTTTCCGCCAGCAGCAGCGCTCGCTGCCGCACCTTCCGGAGCCTCCGCCCCCCCTGCGCTTCCCCCTTCCCCCAACCCTCCCCCTGCGCCGGTCCTGCGGGAAGGTGCCGGGACAGATCCGGAAGCTTCGTCGAACTTGGGCTTCACGTACACCTCGATATTAGGATTCTCGTGACTGTATCTGGTGTGACTATAATCCTGCGCTTGCTGCTGCTGTTGCTGCCGCTGCTGCTGCTTTCCTCGAGCGTTTCGCGGCGGATTTTGCGCCAGATTTTGCGGCGGCTGAGACGGCGACCCGTCCTGCTTTATCTGACGCCTTCGTTCCAAATATCCGGAAACTACGGCCATGGACTGATCCGATTCGCCGACGATATTCGAAAGATACTCTGCCACGTCAGCATCGGAGGCATTAGGGCAGTAGCTGACTAGACCTGACACCATGTCAGCATCCAGGAACGGCAGCGCGTCGCGCATCGCTAGGAGCTGATTCTGCAGCCATGCCTCCGGCGCCGCGGATGCTGACGTGGCCATGGATAAGCGGGAGTGGAGGAAAACTGGATCCTAACAGCGAAGCTCGTAGAAACGGCTATTTCCCGGCAACGAAGAGGAAGGACTGGTTGTCGCATTTATTAGGTCAGATTTGAATCAGCGTCCCAAAGTACCCTACCCAACCAGCCTAGGTATCAAGCCAACCGTTGTAGAACCAGCTGAACCGACAATTGTCCAGGCCTTAGCATGTCAACTGTACCCAATAAGGGCGGATGCATTTCGGCTACGTTGCGTAAACGTCTGACTGAATAGCATAATCCACAACTTCATTACAATACAAAGAGTACATTGAATAACAAACAAGGCCAGCAGCATAGCAATGTCCCTGAATCAGTCACCACCACCCATCCCTAACGCTTTTGTCACTCTTTTATCTTGAGGGGGGTTGTTATGTGTGTTGCATCCCTAACGCTTTTGTCTACAACTTCAAAACCAACCCGTATCTGACATAGGTAAATCACACAAATACTCGCAGGTAACTTACCATCTCATTTGCAGCATGGCACCACGTTGCAGAGAAAATAAAACACCGCCACCACCAGCTGTCTGAGAACAAACCAGGAATCACTGTTTTCCTTCCCCCAGTTCCTGAAAATGCCGTAATTCACCCCAACAGTTTGCAAAATGGTGCCCTTGGTGGTGGTGGTCATTCCCCACACATCAGCACCACACCATCCGGAACACAGCCTGAAAAGGTGTCTGCTCTGCACCATGATCTAGCTGGCACGCTGATCCTTTACTCCACTCAAACACAGCTTGAAAAGGTATTCGCCAGAGCTATCCATAAGAATATTGGAGTCGCTCGCATGCCACTTTGGTATCAAAGCTGCTCAGGCAGATGGCAAATGCCTGCACGCATAGTGTGGGCACACACAGACACACGGGGAAAGCACAAACTTGTGAAGGGTAAGTTAACACGAATTGTAATGAGGCAGCACAGCAAGGACTTGTGAGGCGCTCAAAAAGGCAAATTGCAACGGCACAAGGAAAACGCACGTGATCTGGGCACACACAAAGAAAACAGCCCGGAAGTCAAGGGCAAGAGAAGGGAGACGGGGAAAAGCATATTGACACGATACCTGAAAACGCCTGGCAGGCAGCACCCACCTGGAAGGCCGTGAGTGGATATCTGTAGTCCATGGTAAAGGTGTCCTTGCCGATCTTGCCAAACTGCATCAGCAGCACCGGCAGGGCTCCGAACCATACACACTAGCATTCAAAGAAGAAGCACCCACCTGGAAGGCAGTAAGCGGGTATCTGTAGTCCATGGTGAACGTGTCCTTGCCAATCTTCCCAAACTGCAGCAACACCTTCAAGGCACCGCACCATACACACCAGCACTTGTGCTAGAATAACACACCTGGAAGGCCGTGAGTGGATATCTGTAGTCCATAGTAAAAGTGTCCTTGCCAATCTTCCCGAACTGCAGCAGCACCGGCTTGTCCGAGTCGTTCCCCGGCCCGCCCCCCTCTATCAGCTGAAAATTCTTCACTGATGCTACTGTCACGCGGCCACGGAAGTTGAGGCACCAACACTGCAAGGGAGTACGGGAAAGGGGAGGCGGGTAGGGGGTGGGAAAGGGGGGAGCAGCACCGGCTTGTCAGAGTCGTTCCGCGGCCCGCCCCCCTCGATCAGCTGGAAGTTCTTCACTGAAGCCACTGTCACTCGCCCCCTGAAGTTCAAGCACCAGCACTGGCAGTGTGGGAGGGGGAGGGCAGGCAAGGGGAGGCAAGGGCGGGATGAGAAGGGGGCTTGTCCGAGTCGTTCCCCGCCCCCCCCCCCCCCCCCTCTATCAGCTGGAAATTCTTCACAGAAGCACCCCCTGTCACTCGCCCCCTGAAGTTGAGGCACCAGCACTGGAAGCGTGTATGGGATGGACAGGAAAAGGGGATGCAAGGGAGGATTGGAAGGGCCTTATCTGAGATGCTCCCCGGCCCGCCCCCCTCTATCAGCTGGAAGTTGTTCACCGAAGCAACCGTTACTCGCCCTCTGAAGTTGAGGCACCAGCACTGGAAGGCGAGGAGGGGAGGCGAGGGAGGGGAGGGAGCGCTCGGCCCAATGTTTCATGATAGATTTCGCTTTCTAATCTGTAATTGCCTTCCTCAATACACACACACCTGCAGCTGCGCGTGCCACCGGGGAGGCTTGTTCCTCGATACCACAGTCTCTAGGGGCGCTCGGCCCATGATAAAAAGCTTTATATTGCCCTATACTCCCATATACTCCCATATACTCCCTTATACTCCTTTGCACTCCTCCATATCCCCTTGTATCCCCTCACCTGCAGCTGCTCGTGCCATCTGCGAGACTTGTTCCGCAACACCATGGGCTCCAGAGGCGCTCGGCCTCATACTCCCTTGAACTACCCTGTACTCCCGTGCACCGCTTCCCACCCCCCAGCACCCACACACATACCTGCAGCTGGTCGTGCCATCTGGGAGGCTTGTTCCGCAACACCATGGGCTCTAAGGGCGCTCGGCTTCATCTATTTCCATACGAACACCGCTTAATACTCCCCTGTACTGCTGTGCACCGCTCCTCATCCCCCAATAAACACACATACCTGCAGCTGCTCGTGCCATCTGGGTGGCTTGTTCCGCAACAACATGGGCTCTAGAGGCGCTCGGCCGATGCACCGCACACAGTCACACTCCGTACAGTCACCCTCAGTGTCACCCTCCGCATCTGCCTCTGCATTGAAAGCAGGAGGCGCAGCAGCAGGGGAAGGAGCAGCAGAAGCAGAAGGAGCAGCAGGAAGGGCGGCAAGAGACGGGGCAGACGAAGCAGCAAATGGGGGAGTCGCAGCTGCAGCAGGGAGAGAGGAAGGGGTGAATGGGGGAGTCAAGGGACCCGAGGGGAGAGAGGAGGAGGCGAATGGGGGAGTGACAGCCGCCGCAGCTCTGGCACCTGCTGCTGCTGCTTCTGGTGAAGCCACAGCTCTTGCTGCTGCTGCTTCTGGTGAAGCCACAGCTCTTGCTGCTGCTGCTTCTGACCATGCCGTTCCGCTTGCTGTTGCTGCTGATGCTGCTGCTGCTGCTGCTGTTAGTGCCGCTTCTAGTTCCAATGTGGGCAAGGGCAGGGGCAGGGGCAGGGGCAGGGGCAAGGGCAGGGCGGCAGGGGGAAGCTCAAGGGCAGCAGGGGGAAGGAAGGGGTCCGCGGAGGCGGGGAAGGGGGAGATATGAAGGCCTTCGCTGCCGCTGCTTTCCTGGAAACCTCCGCCTTGCGTGATTTGAGTTGACTCAAAAGCCACCTGGAAACCTCCGCCTTGCAACCAACCCTGATTGCCCTCCTGCTCACTCCTTCCCTCTCCACTGCTCTCCTGCTGCTCACACGCGCCGTCTGTCGGCCAATCCCCACACTCCTCCTGCTGATTCCCCTCCTCTAAACTCCCGTCCTCCGGACTGCTCTCCTCTTGACTCTTCTTCTCCCACTGCCCCCCTTCTTCCACACCCTCCTCTCGCATGCTCTGCTGCTCATCGCTCTCCTCCTTACCACTGCTCCCCATGCTCTCTCCCGCACCCATCTCTTCCCCACTCTCTGGGAACGAGACCAAGGGCTCTCTTGTGCAGATTGTGGGTGGTGACCTTGCTTCCCTCGCTTCCCTCGCTTCCTCCGCTGCTGTGCGTTCTTGCTTCTCGCCCTCCCCCTCCTCTTCTCCACTCCCTGTGAGCCTCACCAGCAATTTCTCCTCCTCCTCCCTCTCCTCCTTCTCTTGCCTCTCCTCGGTCTCGTTCTTCCTCCTCTCCTCTCCCGTCCCCTCCTCCCTCTCTACCTCCCCTCTCTCCACTCTCTTCCCCTCCCCTCTCTCTCCCTTCCCCTCTTCCTCCCGCCCTCCCACTCTCCCTTCAGTCACTTCTTCTACAGTCACCTCCTCTCTCTCCCCCCCTCCCCACTCAAACTCACTCACAATCCCCCCCGCCTCCCCCTTCCCCCCACTGAGCCTGTATGCGCAAGAACGGGCGGCGGGGGAGGCGGAAGACAGCGCGGAAGAGGGAAGCTCCAAGCAAGGGGGGAAGGCGGAAGCGGGGCAGGGGGGAGCGGCTGAGGCGGAAGCGGAAGGGGAGGGAGAAGCGGAGGAGCCTGTGGGGGCAATTAGCACGTCAGGGGGGGAAGCGGGGGAGTGGAGGGCGGAAGGGGCGGGGAAGTGGGGCGGGGCGGAGGTTGCGCCAGCTGGGTGGGCGGCGGCGGGGGAAGAAGCGGGGGATGAGGGCCAGGAGGGGCGGGGAAGCGGGGAAGGGGTGAAAGAGGAGGTACACGTGGGAGGCTGGGATTGGCCAGGTGCTTGCTCATCCGATTTTTGTTCCTCTGGGAGATCGCACGAGTGGTTACTGTAGCGAGTGTGACTATAGCGGTTGGAATGGAAGAGGGAGGAGAGGAGCGGGGAGGTGGCGGCAGCAGCGGCAGCACCAGCGGCTAGGACGGCAGCAGTTGCGGGGGAAGGGGTAGCAGGGGGAGGGGTGCTAGGGGGAACTGTAACGGGAGGAGTTGAAACGGAGCTTCTATCAGAGGTTGTAACGGGAGGAAGGGTGGCAGGACGCGGGCTTCGTAACGTGCCTATATCGGACGTGCCTATAACGGGATCTAAGCCTAAAGCAGCGGCGGCGGTGCCAGCAACATCAGCTGCCGCAGCAGCTGCCCGCCTGGCCCCCTCCGCCGCTGCCTCCCCCGCTGCCTCCGCTACCGCGGAAGCGTCCCCCCATCCCCGCCCACTCCCCCCACTTGCCCCCCTTGCCAACGACCTCCCCTCCCCCCTTCCCCCCCCCGCTTCCTCCCCCGTTCCTCTCCCCGCCTTCCCTCCTGCGCCTCGCCCCGCGCCTGCCGCCCCGCTTCCCCCTCCGCCAGTGACCGCCGCGCCCGCGGGGACCTGGTGCAGAGTGCAGAGAATGCGCCTAGGTCCGCGCACCCCCAGCACGTTCAGCGCATATGCTACAGACACCACCGGCCCGCTACTCCCCCCGCTTCCCCCGCTCCCCCCGCCGCTTCCCCCGCCAATCCCCCCGCTGCTTCCCCCACCTGCGCCTCCCCCGCAGCTGTGCGCGCTGCTTCCGGGGAAGGGGCTGCCGATGCAGCTGGGTTTGAATTGGGGGGAGGCAAAGTCGGAGACGGCGGGGCAAGGGGAAGGCGCAGCGGAAGGGGGCGCGGAGGCGGAAGGGAGGCGCGGGGAGCGGAAGCCCTCGAGGTTGTTGGCGGAGCAGGAGAGGCAGGCGGTTAGCGCGCGGGCGGAGGCGGAGGGGGAAGGGGCGGGGGAGGGGGAAGCTGAGAGGGACGGGGAATGTGCGCGGAGGCTTGACGATACCGCTGCTGACGTGGCCGTGTCAGCGTCATTTGCGCCGTTACAATCGCCCCGACCACCAATGGCGCTGCCGCTGCCACTACTGCTGGTAATACCTGCGCCGAGTAATCCTGTCCCGTCGCTACCCCTGCTACAGCTGGCGCCGCTACAGCTGGAACCGTTAAAGCTGCCCAAGTTACTGTTACACGCGACAGGGGTGCCGGCCCCTCTGCTGCCCGTGCTGCTGCTGCCACAGTTGTAACCACAATGGTGGTTACCACACCGATTGCTACAGTGGTTACAGTGGTGGTAACCGTTGGCGGAAAAAGCGGCTCCGCGGGGATGCACCTTGCGGCTGCTGCTGCTGCTTCCGCCGTGCGCCAGCGACGCCGCGCCGAGAGAAAACGCGGGCTGCACGAGGAAATGCGCAGGAAATGCGGCGCGGGGGGGACGGGAGGGCGGAGGGGGGGGGGGGGGGGTGAGGGTGAGGAGGGGAGGGAGAGGAATGGGGGGGCAGGCGAAACGGTAAAATTGGCGCAAATTAACGGACGCCGAGAGGAGCTTCGACAGTTTTGGGCTTGGAAGATAAATACTGCGTTACTGGGTGCAATTTTTCTCGCCTATGGCATTCGCGACAGCTTTCTTACACCCTGGGTGTCGAGCGCTATGGTAGCTGCGGCGGATCCGTCAAGACAATATACACTACGAAAGAAGAACTCCAATACTGTAGCAAATACGGGTGCGGGTTGAAGAGCCGTAAGCTTCTTCTAGAAGTCTTCACATCCAAGTTACCCCTAACTACTCAAACTCTAAAACACCTCGGTTGAAGGAGTGTAACCTTCTTAATATTGTGTGAAAAAAGTCTATTCTAAGACGACTCAAAAGTCGGTTGTAGAACTGTAACCTTCCTAACATTGTGCGATGCGAACGAACTCAGGTTTCATCGCTCACCTCATGCGACGATTCAAAGACGGCAAATCGCGTGCTTAGGAAATTCGCTCGCAGGCGACCGACGAACGAACTTCCGCCGCGCGAAAAGTCTTTCGGATCCAGCGAGACCACGTACTCCATGCTGGAATGATTTCGAAAGTTGCGAAACAGAGCGAAACGGACACAATAGGGTGACCAGCACAAACACTTTTTCCATGCAAACGTGAATTTGCGAGACACAAACTCAGGTGTGCGATTTGAAGCGAACGAAGGCATTGGCGTAACCAGCACAAACAAGGGTTTGTTAAACGGGCAGAATAGGGCTACAAGCACAAACACCAACTCCGGTTTAGGGTCAAACGATTTTTTAAAGCAGTCGGCTATCCGCTTACCTTGACGGCCGCCAGCCGCACTTGCGCGCCGCGAGCAGGAACTTGCCGTTTTCCGTCGAATTCGGCGGCACGCCCAGAAACAGCGTGAACGTGCCGGTCTTGCGCGAGCGGCGAATGAAGCACTCCACGCAGCGGTCGCGGGTCCTTCGCTTGTGGTCGACCCGGTGAGGTCGACTTGGGGTGGTCGTCGACTTGGGAGGTCGACGGGCACATGCAGGAGCAGCTGGTCGACGTAGTTGCCCGGTCGACCAGGTTACCTGGGTGACGAAGTCCTGCGGAGGATTGTGACGGTCGCCCAGGCGAAGTTGACGAGCCCGACCTCGGTGGTGGTATCCCGAGGTCGACGTGGCTGATCAGATGCAGACTTCAGTGCCAGGTTGACTTGGTGTGTGCGCTGTGCAGGTGACGAGGCTCAGCACGCCAATCATCTGCTAGCACCTGCGAAGCTGGTGCGATGCTGTACTGCGGGAGCAACGCTGGCACGCCGTCAACCTGCGACGTTGGCACGCCGTCAACTTTGCACTGCTGGAGCGCGGTCGACCAAGTCGTGTTGGAACACGGTCGACCGTGCTGCGCTGGCAGTCGACCGACCTGAATGCTAGCTCTGATGTAGTCTTGCCATGCCAACTTCATTGTACCATTGTTGTCAACCTTCTCTAGTGAAACTCTTGCCAACTTGCCCCGTGAACTAGCAAGCAGTGTGTGCACTAGGAAAACGACTAAGGACCAACGAACGCAGAGATCACACGAGCACCCGTGCCTAGCCCATAGTCTAGCTCCCGTTGTAGTAGTTATCTCCGCATGGTGCGGTGAGCGTGGACGGCACACGACTTAACTTTCAGTCAGGTCGACGTAGACACCACTTACCTAATTCGTAGTTGCAGGCCGGCAGCTGTGCGGTAGTCACTATGGTAGGAGCCGTAGGTGACACAGGGGTGGTGGACACCCTGGAGGCACGGCTAAAGAACGCGAGGAGAAAGCACGAGGCCAACGAGTATGGCAACTTGCCCTGGGCGGTCGTCGAGGCTGGACTCCGCACCATGTGGGCGACGGAGCACCCTTCTCGACCTGCCTCTCCTCGTCCGGTGAACAACGAAGGCGGCGTCGACGTTGGCGTCAACGCTGGAGGTGGTCAAGTTGGCAGCAGTGCGGGAGGCACGTCGAGGCAGAGAGGTGTGATTCACGCCGATGAAGTCGGCGGCGTTCAGGCGAGAGGGGTGCAGTCGTCGGCGGCTGCAGGCTCCTCGCAGGGCGACGTCGGAGGACGACGAAGCGGTTTGTCGCCGATGTCGGCGACCCAGGTGACGGCGGGCGGAATTGCACCGAGCTACGGCTACTTCAAGTTTGCGCCGGACAGGATCTTGGTCACCCCGCCGCTCGTTGGTAGACAGGACATCCTCACCTGGAAGGAAGCCATCGAGCCCCAGCTGGAGATGGCCGGGCTGATCAACTTTGCCCGAGGAGCCGTGGTGACATCGGACGACCCCGACCTGCGTGCGGAGTTTCGCGCCGTGCAGCTGTTGACCTTCATGGTCATCTCGCGGTGCTGCTCGCTGGGCGTGCAGATCGCCTTGAAGTGGTGTCGGGAGTACCTTGACGCCGGCCACCAGGCGTGGCACTTCATTGAGTCGACCTACCAAGTCACCGACGACCTGTTCATCGCCCAGCTGGAGGGCCAGTTGACGCACCTGCGTATGGGCGACGAGGAGACGGCGACCGACTATTGCAACCGGGCCAGGCGAATTCTCGCCACCATCAGGATGGCCGGCGCGCAGTACTCGACGGCGTCGTACGTCACCCACGTCATGCAGGGACTTTCGAGCAACTACAACCTCCTGAAGCGGCTGTCAATGGCGCCGGGCACGAGGACGACGCTCAACGAGGACAACTTGACCTCGTACATCCTGCATGACGAGGGGATGCAGGAGGCAGAGCGGTCACAGGAGCTCTTGGCGCAGGCCAACTTCGTCGTCCCGGCGAAGCAAGGAGGTCGACCAGGGCAGCGCAGACAGTCTGGCGGCGGAGGTAGCAGTGGCTGGAAGTCGACCAAGGAAGTCGACAAGAAGAGGTCGACCAAGGACAGCGGTCGAGGAGGAGGAAGTCGACGTCGGGAGTGCTGGCTGTGCGGCGACCCCGACCACCTCTCCTTCGAGTGCCCTGACCGCAGTGACTCCGACGACGACGACGCCAAGGGAGGCCGCTGGAGGTCTGGAAGTCGTCGTCCTCGTCGAGGAGGGAACAAGCCGCGCAAGGAGATGCAGTCGACCAAGTCGACCCCAGCGAAGGACGCCGACTCCTCTACTGACGGCAAGGCGCGGGACGACAAGACGGCGTCGTGCTCGCTGGTCGGCGTCGTGGAGTCGACCATCTCGCTTGCACCGGAGGCCGGAGAGGACTTCCAGGCGGTGGCGGCAGCTGTGCAGGCGAACCTGGCGGTGGTCCTGCTCGACAGCGGCTGCTCCCACCACCTGATGGGGACGAAGGAAGTCTTCGTTGACCTGCAGCCGAGCGGCACCATCAAGCACGTGCGCGGCTTCAATGGGGCACTGCAGGACGTCCAGGGCCGAGGTACCGTCGCCCTGCAAGGGAAGGCCGGGAAGCAGGTACTCATCCCTGACGTGGTGTACGTCCCGGGTGTGCGGGCCAACCTGTTGTCGTCCGGCCAGCTGAAGGAGCATGGCGTGAAGCTGCAGGAGGACGGCGACGGGATGCTGCTCGTCTCAGCAGCGGGAGAGGTGCTCAGACGGGCGACTTACTCCGGGCGTGTCCTCTGCACCGACCTGCGTCCCTGCTCAACGAGGTCGACGTCAACCACGCCGGAGGTTGTGGCCATGCGGGCGATCGTCTCTAAGACGAATTCGACACCGGACAGGATGCATGCGAGACTTGCACACGTCGGCATGGACACCATACGGAGCTCGGCAAGGAACGAGGTCGCCATTGGGCTGGACCTCAAGTCGACAACAACGGCCGACTCACCGTGTGTCTCGTGCGTCGACGGGAAGCTGGCGCGGCACACCTTCCCCGACCAAGGCTCCGACGCCGATGACGTGCTAGCCGTCGTGCACATCGACCTGTGCGGGCCGTTCCGCGTGGCTGCCAAGGACGGCAGCTTGTACTTCTTGCTGCTGAAGGACCGCAAGACCCGCTTCGTGTGGGTGAGGCCGGTCGCCAAGAAGTCGGATGCGCTGCTGGAGTTCCAGAAGTGGCTGGTGTTGGTGGAGAGGCAGGCGAAGAAGTCGGTGCTAATGCTTCGCTCCGACCGAGGGTTTAAGGTGGTGTTGACTCCTCTCTCTACAACCTCGGACCCGAGGATAGGGGCTGGTCTTGTACCAGGCACCCAAGGACCCTTGGAGGTGACCCAGAGGAGAGGTTTTATGTTTGATAAAGTCTTAATAGCTTGAGTTTATTAGGCACTTACACCAACAAGCTGGTATCAGAGCTGCGTTATTGTGATCCTCGTTATAGGTAGCTATGGCGGGCAACACCTCGACGGGAGCTGGTGAATCTTCAGCCCAAGATCGTAGCAGAAGCCAAGATTCTGGTGTTTCAGCGCCAAGGGGAGCGCGAACAAACCAGGGCTCGCTGGTCAAAGAGGTGCTGAAGAACTTCACCGTCGAGAAGTTCAATGGTGAGGGCTATGATGATTGGGCCTGGAAAATGCAACTCTATTTCCGTCAGATTGGATTGCTGAAACTAATGATTGGGGAGGAGCCTAGACTGAGTGACCCCACGCTGCAGGAAGATTGGGACGAGCGCTCCTCGGCTGGCTACTATTTGATGTCGCAGAGTTTGGAGCTTAACCAGCGTCACCACGTTATGCACCTGCTGCCGGAGGTTGAGTGCGGCCCGATGGCGTGGACCGTGTTGAAGGAGCTGCACGCCCCGACCTCCGTTGTTGCAACGTTGATGCTGGAGAGGGAGCTGTCCGCGTTGCGCCTGGGCGAGGAAGAGCCGGTGCAACCTGTCCTGGACAAGATGCGCGACCTCTACGCGAAGTTGGCGACCGCGGGAATCACCTACCCGGAGCAGACCAAGTGCTTGAAGATGCACTCGCTGCTGTCAGAATCGTGGCTTCAATTCACAAGGGGATTGAGCCTGCCGCAGAACCAGAGCTCGTGGACGCTCGAGCGGGTGCGGACAAAGATTCTGGAGCAGGACCTCCGTCACCGCCAACTGAGGGGTGGAGACGAGGGCAGCAGCGGCTACAGGATGCAAGGGAGACGACGTGGCAGAGGACGTGGCTTCGGTGGTGCTGGACGCGGTACAAAGAAGGACGACGACTCCAACGACCAACAAGGAGGTACCGGTTGGGGTCGCGGTGCGAAATCTGGACGTGGGGCCAAGTCGGGTGCTGGTGGCAAAATGAAAGGGAGTTGCTGGTATTGTGAGAAGGAGGGGCACCCCTGGTTTTTGTGCTATAAGAAACCCGATGGATGGACCCCCCAGAATCGTCACCAGGATGGCGGCGCGCGGAGGAACCAGAAAAACGGCGCGAACATGGTCGCCGATTCGTCCGACAACAACCCGAAGAGCAACGGCGGTGCGGAAAAGAAGAAGGAGCACACCGCGGGCCAAGTCTTCCATATTGGAGAGCTGGGGGAGCACGGAGACGCTTCTGCCAAGGTTAGAGC